GTCACTTTGATCTTTATTTAATTTTCCAACATTTCTTTTTAAGTTCTTTGCTTTATCCAAATAATACTACCACCAAGGCCAAATATGGATTCTTAACATATACCGTCCAATTCTTTGTTTTAGGTAATGGAAGAAACAATTAATCACCAAAAAGTCATCAAAGCACTAACTGATGCACTGACCAAAAGACATTACATAAAGTTATTTATGCACCCTTATGCAAGAATGTAAATGAGCAAAGAACTTTCTATAGTTCACAATACTGTCTCCAGCTAGTATATCCCTATAATTGGGAGCAGGTCATCCACATGAATAAAGGGTTATTCTTAAAGTAATATAACTAAGATATGTCAAATCAAACTCCAGAATGATCAAACCCACTGATTGATAAAGAATGGAGGCCCATTCTAGCAAGCATGGTAATGATGCTTGTTAATCTAACACTCATGGGCATTCTCTTGGGAATCAGGTACTATATTGTTCGGAATCCTGCCAATAGCTCAAGCTAAGGAACTTTATGCCTATTTCATGGTGCTTCACATTGTAGATTTGACAATACTAGTCAAAATAAGATGCACTGTTTACCAGTAATAGACTTATTGTCATCATACTCCTAATTAGTTGACAAAACTTGATAGATTGAGTAAACTTGTCTGGCCAATAATATTTTCTAGATGCAGAACAGCATATCTAAAAACCTCTCCATGAGGATAATCATCGAGTTAAGAACAAACCACAAAATAAAGAAAATACGACCTACAAAACCTGGGAGAATAAGGAATGCATTCTAATAATTGACTCAATGAGGTTCCGAAAATTCATCAGCTGGAAAATAGATGGAACTACAACATAGAAAGCTAACTAAAAGGTATTAGATTCCTCATAAGTGACTAACTATCTAAGATAGAGGTGAAGAGCTAACAGGCTTGCTAAAGACTTGAAACCTTACGTCTGTCGCCTTCATCCCAGTGATTTAAAAAGCGCTAGGCACCAAAAAGCGCCAAGGTCCAAAAACGCCCAAGGCGCTAGGCACTCGCTCAGGCGCTCGCTCGAGCAAAGCGAGGCGCTAAAATATAAAAATATATAATATAATTAATAAATATAATTATTTAAAATTTTAAATAAAAATATGCTATTAAATTAAAAAAATCTAAGGTACAAAATCACAATGTCACATTAACAAAAAATTTCAAATAAATAAAAAATAACAATATTAAAATCAAAATAATATATTATTAATCTATTAACAATATTCAAAATTAATCATTTCAAATAAACTTAATAATATTAACAGTATATAGTATACGTATATTGTTAAAAGGAAGTGTAAAGGGATGCTGAGCCTACTGACTGAGAAAAGAGGAAGCGGCAGCGGCGAGCGGCGACAGCGGCAATGGCGAGCAGCGGGAGCGACAAGCAACGGGAGGCGCGAGCGACGATAACGGCAGCGTTTGTGAGCAGCGACAGCGGGAGCAGGAGCGGCGAGCAGCGGGAGACGCGAGCGACGACAGCGGCAGCGTTTGCGAGCAGCGACAGCGGCAACGTTTGCGAGATCGGGATCGGCAGCGACGAGGGTTAGGGTTCGATTGTCACTTATATCAGTTTTAGTTGGTTCGATTGAACCAACTAACCATCATAGACCGAACCAGGACCGAACCAGACCTAAAATCCTGGTTTGGTCGCCTTGGTTACCCCAGGCGCTCGCCTGAAGCGCCCAGCGCCTGGGTTCGGGCGAGCGCCCAGGCGACGCCTGTTTAAGCGCGCCGCCTGGGAGATTAGCGAGGCGCTCGGGCCTCGCCTCGCCTCGCCCGAGTGCCTTTTTAAATCACTGCTTCATCCATAATCTTCTTCGCTGAGCTCTCCTTCCCCACCTTCCTCCATAACTACTGGTTACTCCTCTTCTCCTTCCCCCACCTTCCTCCATATATATTTTTTATATTTTAATATTCTGGAGTGCCTCGATTCGCTCAGACAAGCGCCTAGCACCTCAGGCATTTTGAGACCTTGGTTCCTTTTGACACTTAGCAATTTTAGAAACACTGTTTTTTGCAGAACAACTATTAGCATGAAGACAGTTTATACTTTGGATAATCTGCCTATATCCATGAAGCAGCAGGTCATACCCATTAATTAAAAGCGTACATACACATACATGGACACGTATGGTACTTACTGTTTCCAATTTCCAATTACAAGGGAAACAAGGAGAAAACATAGATGTGGTAGTACCATATTTATCCAACTAGAATATTTGGTTATAACTTATAAGGTTTTGCTTTAGTAGGGGAAAAAACTAAGAGCATATCTCAATGTACCTATCGTACTCTCGACCATGGTGACGATCATGATCATCAGATCTATCTCGATCGCGCTCCCTCCTTTCACTTCTGTCCTTGTGGTCTCTATGATGGCCATCACGATCCCTCTCGCGATCTCGATCTTTGACCCTGTCTCTGTCCCGTTCCCTATCCTTGTCACGCTCCCTCTCCTTCTCCCTGCCTCTTTCTCTTTCCTTGTCTCTGCTCTTTGAGGACCCTCTCTCACGTCCATGGGAATCATACTGTAGAAATGAACTATGTTAGTGAAGCTTCATCAAGAGCACCAAGCAGCATACATTGCATCAGATAAGGAACACAAACTGCTGGAAGGACTAATATCGAAAAAAATTTAGCAAATTTGCAAAAAAAAAAAAATACTGAACCAACTGAAAAACACATACAAGAAAACCATCTTCAACACAACAAAATAAGAAAAGAAAACCATCTGCAACCCAACAAAATAAGCAGCAGATAGATGGGAGATGAAACATCAAATAAATAGAACTCAGGACAAAATGAACATGATGAAGATAACGATTTAGAAAGTCAAAAGAACTGAACTTTACACCTGAAACCCTAACACCTATAAAACCAAACCAAAAAAGCAACACCTAATTGGGAGATGAAACCTAATACAAATAAGAATCAAAACCAACCGAACATGTTACAGATGGCAGTTTAAAAATCCAAAGAAATCATATTTTACACCTGAAATCCTACAACCTATCAAAATCATCATATTATCACCATAAACAAACTAAGAAAGATTCTATTTCATGTACACTTTCGATTTTGTGGACCGTATGAATCAAGTAAATAAGGGCATAATTACGTTTCGAAAGACACACAATCAATAAGAATGGATCTGGCGGATAAAATTTGACATCCAATAGCAGGGCGCCTTCTTGGAGACCTCCTAGTCTTTCATACTGAATGAACATATGAGTGTCCAAAAAAGTAAACATGAAACACTAAATAAACACTCGATCAAACCCCAGTCCACGTACATGTGCAAGGTAGTAATTAAAAGGACAAAATAACTAAAATTTGCACCTGAACCCTACAATCTAACCAATCATCAATCGGGTTGGTATATCTACTGATAAACCAGCGATGCTGAAGCACGTTCCCCGTACGGGATTCAACTATCAGAAATTGCAGCAAGAAACAATTCCCAAGATCAGTCGCAACAGAAACGGCATCTTTTTACACACAGTTTAGAAACGGAAAGGCGAAATCCACCGTCTGAAGTGGAGAATCGGACGCCAAAATAGCATGTAAACGAAGAGTACCTGAGATCTGGAATCGCCGAAGTCATCGAAACCGCTGCCCTTCGCCGGAGGCGCGGCCGCGCCGTACTCATTGTACTCCTCACCGTTGCCCTCATATCTCTCTCCGTAGTCCGGCATCTTCGATAACCCCTCGTATCTGTCTGCGTCTTCTTCTTTCCCCTCGAAGCCTTTGCTTCGGATCGCGCAAAGGCAGTGGTTTTTAGGGCTTCGAGCGAAGCGGGTGGAGGTGACCGCCTACGTCTCCCGAGCTTCGTACTAATGGGGATGCTATCGGATCATGTCGGATCCGGATCCATATCATTACCGATCCGTACCCGGTATCCAGAGACCGGTTATCCAACCCGGATTCGCATACCGGCGGCGGGCGGCGGAACAGTTTCCTCTCGTGAGAAGTTTATCTAATATATACAGTATTTATAAAAATGAATATAAAGGATATGCAATTAATTTTTTTGGAAAAAAATAATTATAAATATCCTTTTATGTTAAGGGATGTGTTGATCGCTTCAGACACTTTGGATATATATATATATATATATATATATATATATATATATATATATATATATATATATATATATATATATATATATATATATCATTCCGAGTGAGGTAGAGGAAAGCTCAATTGGTATGATCATTTGAGCTATACTCCTTGTTGGGATATAATTATCTTTGATCATTGTGAAATTATCATTGATTCGATCTATAGATTTTTTTAAGGTTCTTCCTTTAATACCAAACAATCCGATATAGTGAAATTAATTCGACCTAGTCTTTTTTTTTTTTTGAAGTATTGTCACATTATAAAGAGAGAAAAGGAAAAAAGCTTATGAAGAATTTTACTCGAGAGAAAAAAAAATACATATTTCCTAATATCCCATGGTCCAATGGGGAAAAATAATGAAACATGCCTGTATCTTACGTTATGTATCTTATTTCAGGGCTAAAAATATTTAAATCTCGTATCTTGTTTCCTCTATTCCTACAAACTCTATTCCTACAAAAGATGATGCATCCGACATGATTATTCCTTGGACGATCAAGTCTGTAATACCTATAAGTTGAGCTCAATGGATTGAATTTTGAAGATCAAACTTTAATTGGTCAGAAAAATAATGATCGTTATATTTATAGTTGTTAACCATGGCCCAAGGTTTAAGTCTCCTTATAGCACCAAACAAGCGATCAGAGTCATCACTAGCGATGCAACTTGTGATGACATGATAAGAAGAATTAACAACAAAAACGAATAATAGAACATGAATAGTGAGTGATGCATATCATATGAACATAGTATTTAATAATTTAATAATAAAAATAATCACATAATGGGTATATACGCCTGGAAAAATATAATCTGCATGCAATTTCCACACACAACATAAGATGCCATAATGGGTATGCCTTGGAAAAAGACATTTATTTATTATTGAAAGCATCATAAAATCTTCATATCATCGTCCCCTATTAGAAACTGGGTTTACATCAAGATGATGAGAATCCTCAACCTCATACTTGAGTAGGGCTTTGGTCATCCTCTTTGCTACTATCATGCCATCCCGCCACTCATGGCTGTTCTTATTATCTGGAACAAAGCTGCAAACAAACACAAGAATTAAATCATGTCAGCACCATACGAAAACATCACACAAAGTCACGAGTTTCCAATGGATCAGCAAGCAGTAGGATCAATAATAGAAAGCTTCTCAGTTTCTCACAAATTTCTACGTGATAAGTTGACAAAGAGATATCATGAGAGGGACCTCGTTTGACACTTTTCAAACACCCCATTGGCAACAGCCTTAGGTAGTCCTAAATCACCCATTTATTTGTGATTTAAAAGGAATATAACATTATAAAAGTACAAAATGGAATCTTCTTAGTAGAAGATCTAACATGGGACTTTCAGATTATAAAAGTTCAAAACAGAGAATTTTTTGTTCAGTGTCATCATAATGAATACAGTCCTAATACAGATCAGCCAATTTGTGAACCAAATTATACTTGCACACCTTTATTTGGCTTAAATTTTCTATGCACATCAAAAACTAGATGCATATGCAAATGGAAAGATAAGGAACCGAAAAAGGAAACTATTATGGTCTTATGGTAAAGAAAGATGAGATTCACATGACATACATGATCCGACAACCACGAAGATAAAGAATCCAAGCAAGATAGGACCAACAGGATAGTTATCTCCTTTCTTTGCTGTTTTCTCTGGAACGGAGCCCCTCTTTGTGACATTCTTCTGAAACTTTGCAATTTTCCTGTCAGCAAGACGCCTTGACGTAGTCTGCACAGTAGCGGTCCCATCAGAGTACATTTCTTAGCATTTTTACCATTTATCAGAGTATACATAGTAAGTTGTACACAAATATCAATTGCAGCAATAGAAAATCAAATCATGGAGACAATTGATTACCAGAGCAAATGGGCTTCTTGGGACCAAATACTTTTAACTACCAGAGTGAATAAGCATACAGCTAGAGACTAAAAAATCCATAGTTCTGAACAAGCTTTCACCATTGCAACCAAAGCTATGGTGAAGGCTAAACCATAAAGAATTGGAAAATCATCTAAGAAAAATCTCAAGTTTAGAAGCCTAATTGCAAAATGAAATTCACAGTGAAACATGGGCAGCACAGGGAAAATCATGTAGAACCTAATCTAAGAAAAAATCCCAAGTTCAGAAGCCTAATTGCAAAATGAAATTCACAGTGAAACATGGACAGCCCTGTGCTGTTCATCTCAACCAACCTCAGTCATGGCTAAACACTAACAAAACAATTCTCCTAAGTTATAATAAACTAAAACGAATTTCAATTGTAAAAATAGTAAGATGACAATAATCAGTTAATTTGCTGCGGGAGAAAACTGAAGTGAAAAATCATATCATAACTGCTCACACATGGCCAAACCATTTTCTTCCCAACTTCATGGGCAGAAAAAAATTAATTAGTCCGGATAATTTTAAACGCAGACTTTCCTTAATTTTTCTTCCTAAGCTTTCTTTCCAAGAGAGTAAAAGGAAAAGAAAGGCAATAAGATAAAAACTATATATATAAACTAAAAGAAAACCACTTGCTCTTTCCTTGTTTGGACCAAATAAAGAGAAAGGAAGGATCAGTCACAACTCTCTTTTTTTGCTTCAATTCTCTCCACTTTTGGGAAGAAAGAAGGAAAAAAAAAGTCTTTTGAAAAAGTGTTGGTTCTCTCCACCTATCTCCCAGGATTTATAACCAAACAAGAGAAAGTCTCTCTCCACTTCTCTTGTTAATGCATTGAAAAGAGAGTATCCACTTTCTCTCCATCCAAATACTTTCGAAAGAGATTCCATAAATATATATAGAGAGGAAGAGAGAAAGAGAAACATGCAAACAAATCAAGCTGAGACACCCAAGAACTCACTTAATTACAGACTATTACTAAGTGATCACGATCTCTAATAGGGTATATTCCGATACCACCCCCGTAGCAACAATCAACAACCGCGTCAGCGCCATGCGACGCCTCAAGGCTGAGATGGTGCACTGCCTGAACGCAACACCTTGGACTCAGATGGGACGATCACCTGTTCCCGCACTATCCGAGGCTGTACAAGACGACGCTACATAGTATAGAGCCGCTCCAAAAAGCTCGGAACGGTGCCGCACAGGGCTGATCCGTGCAGGTTGGTCGGCGCCCGCATGGAAGGTACGAGTCGACCGCCCGAGAAGTCGACGGCCATTAATGGATCATGTACGACCAACCTTCGTTCGCATGTATAAAAGTCAACCTCCTAACCAGCGTCAGGGGTTGGACTTCAAACACCTCAACTCCCCCTAACTCCACTCAACACTGACTTGAGCTTCGACGAGTCAGGAATCTCCCTCCCAACCTCAGACTGTGTGCAGGAACTCGACGACGAAACAGCAACCCGACGGGGGAGGAAGAGAAACTCCTTGCTCTAACTTGGATCGATTCTGGAGATAAAGCTTGAACCCGACCTGATGTTGACCACCCCAGTTCGAGCAGCCATGTGGGTGGCTCTGCGCACTCGGGATCAGACCAAGCCGTGTTGATCCATCGGCCACGACACAAAGTTGCTCAATGTTTTTGGCGCTAGGAGGAGGGCCCGATGTCGTAGGAGCATCCTCCACCAAACAACCCTAGCGAACGCCCTGGCGAGAAGGCACCCGCCACCATTTCCACCTTCACCCTCGAAGGGCAGCTCCCCACTCTCCCGTATATGGATAGAAGCGCCTCGGCTCAGACTCCGGGGCGCTATTGCCGTTTGTTCAACGACCCTAAGCTCTTGTCTCTCGGGGCTAGCGCGGGATAGTTGGTCGTCTCCGCCGAGGCGTTCCTCAACCTCACCCACCAGGTGCAAGCGTTAGCTGGGATGATGCAGACCATCGCACCCCTCATACCCCAGCTAGCTCAGCAGACGATTCTTCCCCCACGATCGTCACCCGTGATCTAACCTACGCTCATCCCTACACCTCACAATGCCGCCCCGGTTGACCAGCCACCTCTGGCTCCAAATGCCCGGGCACCCACGATCCGGGGAGCAATCAAGACACCTGAGGCCAACGACAACATCCCTATGCCCAGATGCGCTACCTCGACCTTCCCCGAAGCCAACACCCTATAATCTGACTCGGCGGACGATTCGTTCTGAGCCCAGTTGCGGTTGGTAAATCGATGCCTGGACGAGGTTTAAAGTGAATTCCATAAATATTAGGAGGAGCTAAGGGAAAGTACCTCGGTAGGGTCCCCCTTTGCCCAAGAAATTCAGGACAAACCTATCCCCCCCAACTTCCACCTCCCGACAATAGAGGCCTATGATGGTGGCTCTGATCCAGCAAAGCACGTCACCACCTTTTGAGCCCAGATGGCCCTATACGACACTTCCGACGCCCTGATGTGTCGAGCATTTCCTACCACCCTCCGAGGCCCAGCTCGGATGTGGTATAGCTGATTGAGGCAATCCTCGGTATTGTCTTTTGATCAACTTACAAGGGAACTCGAGCTTCACTTCCTAGCATGAGTGCAACCTAATCCGTTTGCGGCCATGCTCCTCGGGCTAAGGCAGAAGGAGGATGAATCTCTCCTCCCTCTTCGTCGCCCGCTTCGCTATTGAGATCCGATAGGTTCCAAATGCCCACCCTATTTGGTTATGCAGGCATTCATGACGGGCCTACGACCTTCAAGGTTCTTTTGGTCACTGGTCGAGAGGCCACCAACGACCGTTCCCGAGATGCTCCAACGGGCCAACCAGTATGTTGTTGTGGAGGCACTGGTGGCAAGAAAGCACGAGGAGTCGCACAAAAGGCCTCACCAGGAGCAAACCATGTGAGCAGATCAAGGAAAGAAGGCCCACCACGACAAGGCCGGAAGTAATGAGCCCAAGGTTTGCAGATAAAAAAAAAGGGCCCGCTATAACGGAGCATGTGCCCGAGTTATAAATCTCGGCCAATCATGTGCCTGAGTTATGAATCTCGACCAACCAGTGTCCAAGTTGTGCACCTCGGCCACCCGAGTCGTGCGCCTCGGCCAAATAGTGTCCGAGTTGTACACTTCAATCAAATAGTGCTCGAGTGGTGCACCTCGGTCAAATAGTGTCCGAGTTGTGCATCTCAACCAAACAGTGCCCGAGTCATGCACCTCCAAACAGTGCTCGAGTTGTGCACCTCAACCAAACAATGTCCGAGTTGTGCACCTCGATCAAATAGTGCTCGAGTGGTGCACCTTGGTCAAACAGTGTCTAAGTTGTACACCTCAGTCAAACAGTGCTCGAGTGGTGCATCTCGGCCAAACAGTGCCTGAGTTGTGCACCTCGACCAAATAGTGCTCGAGTTGTGCACGTCGGCCAAATAATGCCCGAGTGGTGCATCTCGGCCAAACAATGTCCGAGCCATGCACCTTAACCAAA